GACTGGGGGTACCTCACACACACGCACACAACAGGCGGACTGGGGGCACCTCAGACACACACACAGGCAAGAGGCAGGCTGGGGGTGTACCTCAGACAGCAGGTGGACTGGGGGGGTACCTCCCTCACACACACACAACAGGCAGACTGGTGTACCTCACACACACACAGACAACAGGCAGACTGGGGGTACCTCACACACACACGACAGGCAGGCTGGGGGTACTTTACACACACACACGACCTGGTTACACCTGCACACACATACACCCTTGTGTCCTGGGGTAGTTACACACACACCCCCTGTGTCCTGGGGTAGTTACACACACCCCCATGGACTGGGTTTAGTTGTACATACACACAAACTGGAGGTGCTCACACACACGGAGCAGGGATGTTTTTACACACACACGGAGTAGGAACAGGCGTCGCACAGCCGCACATGAGCGCGCCTGTTTCCCGCTCTCCTCGCCCACAGTCTCGGCTTTGCGTTGTTGTGTTCACCCTGTACAGACGTGACCGTTTCAGCGTCACCCTCCGCCAAGGAGCCACCCCGGCTGCGGGGGACGTGAGCAGGACAGCGCGAGTGTCACCAAGACACCGCGCCGGGACCCCCCTCCCAGGGTCCTCTCCGCTGCGGCTGTTGGGGACATCGACCGGTGGTCCCCGATGCACAGGTGGCGGCTTGGGTTGTCCCCAAGGGACAGGAGAGGGGGACGAGCCCCGGGATGGGGACACCTGGGGGGCCAGCGCCGCCCGAGCGGGTCCCTCCGCTGCCACTTAGGGAGCGTGGGGTGGGACTGCAAAAATTACCACCTCTGGTGGGGTTTTGGGGAGCATTGCAGCGTTTTTGGGAGTGTTGCAGCGTTTTCAGGAGCATTGCAGCAATTTTAGGAGCGTTGCAGCAATTTCAGGAGCACTGCAGTGTTTTCAGGAGCATTGCAGCGTTTTCAGGAGCATTGCAGCATTTTCAGGAGCACTGCAGTGTTTTCAGGAGCATTGCAGCGTTTTCAGGAGCATTGCAGCATTTTCAGGAGCATTGCAGCATTTTCAGGAGCATTGCAGCATTTTCGGGAGCATTGCAGCAATTTTAGGAGCGTTGCAGCATTTTCAGGAGTGCTGCAGCATTTCCAGGAGCATTGTGGTGTTTTCAGGAGCGTTGCAGCAATTTCAGGAGCATTGCAGCATTTATAGGAGCGTTGCAGCAAGTTTAGGAGCGCTGCAGCATTTTCAGGAGCATTGCAGCGTTTTTAGGAGCGTTGCAGCAAGTTTAGAAGCACTGCAGCAATTTCAGGAGCGTTGCAGCATTTTCAGGAGCATTGCAACGTTTTCAAGAGTGTTGCAACAATTTCAGGAGCATTGCAGCATTTTCAGGAGCGCTGCAGCAATTTTAGGAGCGCTGCAGCATTTTCAGGAGCATTGCAGCGTTTTCAGGAGCATTGCAGCATTTTCAGGAGCATTGCAGCATTTTCAGGAGCATTGCAGCGTTTTCAGGACCATTGCAGCATTTTCAGGAGCATTGCAGCGTTTTCAGGAACCTTGCAGCAATTTTAGGAGCGTTGCAGCAATTTAGGAACATTGCAGCGTGCATAAGAGCATTGCAGTGTGTTTAGGAGTATCAAAGCATGTTTAGGAATATTGCAGCATTTTCAAGACTATCGCAGCATTTCTAGGAGTATTGCAGCACTTTGGGGAAAATTACAGCATTTTTAGGAGGATTGTGCTGTTTTCAGGAGTAATGCAGCGTTTTTAGACACATTGCTACATTTTTAGGGGTATTCCAGTGTTTTTAGGAGCACTGCAGTGTTTGGGGGAGTCCTGCAGCGTTTTTAGGCGCACTGCAGCACTTTTAGGAGTATTGCAGCGTTTTTAGGCGCACTGCAGCACTTTTAGGAGTATTGCAGCGTTTTTAGGCGCACTGCAGCACTTTTAGGAGTATTGCAGCGTTTTTAGGCGCACTGCAGCACTTTTAGGAGTATTGCAGCGTTTTTAGGCGCACTGCAGCACTTTTAGGAGTATTGCAGCGTTTTTAGGTGCACTGCAGCGTTTTCAGGAACATTGCAGCATTTTGAGGAGAATTCCAGTGTTTTTTAAAAGTACTGCAGTGTTTTGGGGAGTCCTGCAGTATTTGGGGGCCTCCTCACAGCTCCCGCCTAGAATTGCATCCTAAAATCCCATCAATCCGGGTCTCCTTGTGCTCCCACCAGCTCTGCAGAGCCACCACCCATGGGTGCGACCTCCAGCTCCTCGGAGGATGCAATGGGAACCGAGAGCGTCCGTGGAGAATAAACCAAGGAAATAAATGCGAAGGGCAGCGGTTCTTGGTCTCTTTTCCTTCTCCCTTTCCTTCCTTCCCGCCTCCTGGAGGTGTCCGTCCCGCCGCTCCGGGCGCTCCGGCCTCCCCGTCCGCAGCGCCGCCGCTTCTCCTTGTGCCCGAAACCTCCTCCATGACTTGGGTGCTAATTACCTGAAATCCTCAGCAAACGAGGAATCGTTTGCCGCATTCATAAAGCAGGGGAAGAAATGGGTTTCCTCCCATTTTCGGGGCACCTTTTGGGAGGAATTCCTGGAATCCAGGCACCGAAGCAGCCGGATTCCCGTAATCCGGGCACTGAAGCAGCCGGATTCCCAGAATCCAGACACCAAAGCAGCCAGATTCCTGGAATCCAGGCACCAAAGCAGCAGGATTCCTGGAATCCTCTCCGGAGGATCCAGAGAGGACCTAGCGGAGGGCAACCAAGATGATGAAGGGACTGGAGCATCTATCACATGAGGAGAGACTGAGCTGGGCCTGTTGAGGCTGGAGAAGGTTGGGAGGGGAGCTGGTCAATGTGTCCAAGCACCCGAGGGAGGATGGAGGGAGGAAGGGGCCGAGCTCTTCTCCACCCCGTGCTCAGGGAGAACTGCCCACGGTGCAGGGACGAGCTGGACCTGCAGCGTCTCCCCGTGGGGACACTGACCTGGGACCTGTGGTGGCGTCTCCTTGGCCACCAACCTGTGTGTTGAGTGGTCCCTGCCCTTCTGGAGAAGCCCTTTGTCTCCTTGGAGGCTTCTCCCGCCCTTCATGGAATCATCGTGGTCGGCCAAGACCTCCAAGGCGACCGAGTCCTCCGCAGGCCTCCCGCCCCCGTCGCGGGCCGGGTCTTCTGCCCCCCGGCCCTTCCCTGAGGGCTTCGTCTCGCCCAAGGAGCCAGGCGCCAAGTCGCACCCGTGAGACCCTGTGTGTCCCTTGGGACACGAATGGATCCCTTTGGGACACTGATGGATCCTTGGGACACTGATGGATCCGCTTGAGACACCGATAGGTCCCCTTGGGACATGAATGGATCCTTTTGGGACACCAATGGATCCCCTTGGGACACCGATAGGTCCCCTTGGGACACTGATGGGTCCTTTTGGGACACCAATAGATCCCGTTGGGACACCAATGGATCCGTGGCAGCTCCAGCTCCTTCTCCAAGAGCCCCGGGATGAAGTTGGGCGCTCACCATCCAATATCCCTTCCCCATCACCATTCCCTCTGCGCTGAGATCATGATCCATTATTTCTTTCCCTCGATATCTCCTCATAGTCAACATTTTTAAAGACTCATTCAAAAAACCCAACCCCACAATCGAATCCTTGGATTCGCAGCCGGTTTTGCCCCGGGTCCGGCGCTCCCGTGCCCGTTCCCTGCTCCGGAGCGTGCTGTTCCTCTCGCTGTTCCTCTTAACGATGCCGCGATTTCCGTCCCAATTTGTGCCTTGGCCCCGCGCTCGGGCCGCGCTCCTCATTGTCCGCAGTGCTCTGACCTAGTTCCCGCTCTCGGCCGGCACTTGTGGCGGGCGCGGAGCTGCCGGCGCGGCCAAGCCGCTTCCCGCCTCGCTTCCCGCCGGGACGGTCCGGCCTCTGAAGCGCGGCCAGCTCCCCGGTCCTGCTCCGTCCTCCTTCCTGCTCCAGCTCCCTGGCCCGCTCCAGGTCCCCATCCCGCTCCATCCTTTTTCCTGCCCCATCCTCCTTCCTGCTCCATCCTCCTTCCCGCTCCAGATCCCCCATACCGCCCCATCCTCTTTCCCGCTCCGTCCCCCGTCCCACTTCATCCTTCTTCCCACTCCATCCTCCTTCCCTTTCCAGGTCCCCGTCCCGCTCCAGGTCCCCATCCCGCCCCATCCTCCTTCCCACTCCATCCCCCATCCCACTCTGTCCTTCTTCCCTCTCCATCCTCCTTCCCACTCCAGGTCCCCATCCCACTCCATCCTCCTTCCCGCTCCATCCTCCTCCTTCCCACTCCAGGTCCCCGTCCTGCTCCATCCTCCTTCCTGCTCCATCCTCCATCCCACTGCTGGTCCCCATCCCGCTCCAGGTCCCCATTCCACTCCGTCCTCCTTCCCACTCCAGGTCCCCGTCCCTCTCCATCCTCCTTCCCGCTCCATCCTCTTTCCCGCTCCGTCCTCCTTCCCTCTGCTCCCCCAGCCCCTGGCCCGGGCTGCGGCTCCCTCTCCGAGTTGCACGGGGGGCTTTTCTCTCCAAAACCAGCCAATTTGGGGGCTTTTTTGCCCTTCCCTCTGCTTTGCCTGGAGCCGGGAATCGCTTCCCAGTGGCCAACACTGGAAAACCAGGGAAAACGCGGGTTAGAGCCCCGAGCGCTTCCGTGGCGCCGGCCACCGCGGCTGCTCGTTCCCCCACGGAGCGCTTGGGGGTCTTGCTCTTGTCCCCCCTTTAAATCCAGCGCCGATTCCACCCAACACGGCGCTCGCTCCCGCCTGGAATGAGCTGGGAAGCAACGGAGCCGGGTTCGGCCAAACGGGGCCGGTGCCCATTGCACCCCTGGGGCCATCGGCGCGCGGGAGACGCTGGTGCTGGGGACGTCCCTGGCCAGGTGGGATGGACGCGATTCCAGGTGGGATGGATCCCATGCCAGGTGCAATGGATCCCATCCCAGGGACACTGTCCCAGGTGGGATGGATCCCATCCTAAGTGACACTATCCTAGGTGGGACGATCTCATCCCAGGTCACACTATGCGAGGTGGGATGGATCCCATGCCAGGTTGGATGGATCCCATCCCAGGTGACACTGTCCCAGGTGGGTCAGATCCCATCCCAGGTGATACTGTCCAGGTTGGACAGATCCCATCCCAAGGACACTATCCAGGTGGGATAGATCCCATTCCAAGGACACTATCCCAGGTCGGACAGATCCCATCCCAGATGACACTATCCCAGGTGGGACAGATCCTATCCAAAGGACACTATCCCAAGTGGGACAGATCCCATCCCAGGGACACTATCCAGGTTGGACAGATCCCATCCCAAGGACACTATCCAGGTTGGACAGATCCCATCCAAAGGACATTATCCCAGGTGGGACAGATCCCATTCCAAGGACACTATCCAGGTTGGACAGATCCCATCCAAAGGACATTATCCCATGCGGAACACTCCGTGCCGGCATCAGGGAAGAGGCAACCGGGGCCAGGGCCGCGAGCGGCTCCGGTGCCAATTCCCGTCCCCGCCACAAAGGCACCGTCCCGCTCCGCAGAACCACCCAAGCATTTAAATTTAATGGCCGGGCGCATTTGGGGGCAGCCGGGCGGGCTCCCTCTGTCAGGAACGACCGGGATCGGGGACATGGAAAGGGCAGCGGCCACCGCAGGGGCCGCGCGGGACGGGGAGCGCGGGCAGCGGCCGCAGACCTGACCTTGGTGATGATGATGATGATGATAATAATAATAATAAAGAAAAGAAAAAAACTTTTATTTCAAGGTTTTCCTTAATTGTTGTTGTTGCAGTCGTCTTTTTTTTTTCTTTTTTAAACCTGTATTTCAAAAAAAGGGGGGCCGAAGTACAAAAAAAGTCAGTGGCGGGAGAGCAACGGTTTGGAAATGAGAGCCTCCGGCTACGGCAAGCGGCGGCACGGGGCGCGGAGCCGCCGGCCCGCGCGGGACGGGGAGGGAGGAGGGGGTTTTTTCCTTTTTTTGCCGTTTTTGGCCGTTTTTCTCTGTACAAAACACACCAAAGCATGCTGGGGAGGGTACCGGGGGGGGCTACGCCACGTGGTTGGGCAGGCAGTTGGTGGCGGCGCCGTCGGGCTCCGCTTTGGCGGGCGGGCGCTTGGGCGAGGGGGCGCCGGGCACGAAGGCCTCCTCCTCCTCCTCCTTCTTGGCGCCCGCCTGCGGCAGCTCCGGCGCCTTGGAGCCGCCGTCGTCCTGCGGGACACGGGCGGCGCGTGAGGAGCGGCGCCCGCCGGCACCGGCACCGGCACCGGCACCGCGGGGGGACCTTACGTTGGGGTGCGAGCCCTCGGCGATGGTGGACAGCGAGAAGTTGTCGTTGTGGAGCTCGGACGGGCTGCGGTACCTGCCGGAGGGGCCGGCGGCGCCGTGAGCGGCGGCACCGGCACCGCGCGGTCCCCGCGCGCCCCGCGGGCGCCCCGCGCTCACTTGCTCTTGCGCAGCTTGCTGTTCTCCGTCTTGAGCAGGTAGAGCTTCTTGGCGAAGAAGACGGTGAGCATGAAGAGCAGCAGCAGGACGAGCGCGGCCGAGCCCACGGCCACGCACAGCACCTGGAAGTCGGTGACGACGGCCTCGCAGCGCGGGCCCTTGTGCCACGTGTAGGCCTGCGTGTTGCACCTGCGCGGCGGCGCCGTGAGCCGCGTGCGCGCCGCCAGCCGCGCCGA